TTTGCTAAGCTTGTTCTAAGTAGGTGCTTTAGACCACTGAGCCATCTCACCAGCCCCACAATGTCAGTTTTGCCTGCTTGGCTTCCCCTCTGTTCATTTCTAGTGAGGTGTTTTTTTTGTTTTGTTTTGTTTTTTAAATTTTTTTTTACCAGAAATTGAACTCAAGACCTTGTGCTTGCCAGGCAGGTACTTGTGCCATTGTGCTATGTCCCCAGCCTGAGTTCTGGTGGGCTTTATCACTCACAATACTCCCTACACACACACACACACACACACACACACACACACACACACACAACCAGGATAACCATGTGACTCAGGACTGGCCAGGCGTTCCCTTGGCAACAGGGGTGCTCTAAGAGTAGGAACATGCTCAAGTAGAGTCAGAGTCCTCTTCTGCAACTAATATATGAACAATGGACAGAATAATACAAAGAACTACTTGTGCAGCTAGAGCTCTATTCTTTCCTACATGGGCCAGGTGGTTTGCAGTGGATGGAATGAAGCAGGCATACACAGAGAAGCTAGGACAGAGAGAGGCTGAAGGTACTGTGATGGTACTGAGAAATGGGCTCCAGTTCTAGCAGCATTTGTCTATACAGCGCTGACGCTATGTGAAACATGACATTCTGCTTAAACAAATCTGAATTTGTGTTTAGTCATTAGAAAATGAATCAAAATTGACAATTTTTTTTATATCAGGGATTGAACTCAGGACCTTGCACTTGCCAGGCATTTATGCCTCTGAGCTATCTCCCCAGCCTGACAATGTATTTTTGTCACACTATAATTGCATATAGCTCTGACTTCAAAGGTTCATGAAAACATAAGATAGCCAGGTGCGGAGGCAGATGCCTGTAACTCCAGCTCTAGGAGACCAAGGCACGAGGACTGTAAGTTTGAGCCTAGCTTGGGCAAGTATCTCAAAATAAAAATGTAAGTGAGTTTCTGCAGATGTAGCTCAGTGTGAAGGCTCTAGATTAAATCCTCAATAACACACACTCAAACCCATAGATGTTTAAAGTTATGAACTTTGGCTTTTGTTTTCCTTTTGAGACAGGGTCTCACTATGCAGCTCAGGCTGGCCTTGAGCTCACTGTGTAGCTCAGGCTGGTCTCAAACTCGTAACAATTCTTCTGCCTCAGGTTCCCAAGTGCTAGGATTATAAGACTGCATCACCATGCTCAGCAAGTTATGAACTTTGATGAAATAAGAAAGGGTTTTGGGGGTGGTGAGCATCTCACTACCACCTCAAATTGTAATCTCTCTGCCTCAGCTTGGTGGGATTAGAGGCCTGAGCATGATGCCTGGTGTTAGTTGATACA